ATAAAATATTCACTACTTTTCAAAAGACAAACTTTCCTGCTAACATATCATTTACATATCGCTCCATGTATAGTTTATATTTGCCTCTTTTTTGTGTGTGGCTGGGAATCAAACCCAAAGCTTTTGCATGCTAGCTGATCGCTCTTCCATAGAGCTCCACCCTCAGCCCCTGCTTTGTCTTTAAATATATCGATATCTTTTAACATATATATATTTAAAGGTTCTTATTGGAGAGATTTTTTTTTTAAACACACATGGAAGTATGCCCTCATTTATGCTTTATCAACTCAGGGCCAATCCATCCATCTGTACACTGATCTATAGCTCCCAGTGTTATATTTGAACAAATCCCACATAGAATGTTTCATCCATCTATGCATATTTATAATGACTATATGGTATCTAACTGTGTGAATGTGTTACTATTTATATATTTACAAAAATCCCTTTGTTTTTAGGCAGATCTCTTTCTTGCTCTCTCTGGCTCTCTTCCCATGGCGTGTGTGTGTGTGTGTGTGTGTGTGTGTGTGTGTGTGTGTGTGTGTGTGTGTGTATGTTACTAGAGGTTAAACTTAGGGCCTATGTGTACTAGAGAAATGTTCTGTCATTGAGCTATCCCCTCAAGCCTGACACTTTAATTTTTGTCATTCAAATTATAACACCACAAATGCTGTCATCGTGTTTTGAATTCCTGAAATACCTAAACCCTTTCCCCATCGTGTTTACCTCTTCTTATTTTGAGTCTCACATTTTGTAATAGAGGAGGTTGTATTATCCCCCATCTTATGCATAGTTATTACAGAACCTGGTGGCAAACTGTTGGTAAAGTACTGTAGTAAGAACTAAAACCCAGACCTCTTCAATGTAGTTTGCTCATTCGAAACTAAACCATCCCAACTTACAGTATTCATAAAAGCAATACACATGTACGGTAGAAATATACTGCTATAAAATGTTCTGTGTATAAGTTGAATGCCTATTAAGAAACTCAATATTATGCTAGATGTCTTACTACTTAATTTACATATAAATAGACTAGAGTAAGGGTGATCTCTCACAGAAAAAGGAATGGAGACCTGCTGTGGTAAAGAAATCCCCTATCCATACACCACTCATAAATAGTGGAATTTGGGTTCTAATTTAGACCTTGCTTCCAAATTCAGGGCTTCTTGCTTTCCTTTCTACTTTTCCCTGAATGTCTGATGGGCCATTTTTGTGTTTAAATAAAAAAAAAACAAAAGTGACCCGTGAAACTATGGCTTTAAAAACTCCTTGTATTTAATGATACGTACATATATCTTTTCCACGCCTAGTAACAAGTTTTGCCTACTTATATATCAAAGTACTCTAAAACGCTGTGTTTTTGTGTGTAAGGAAGTGTGTTCCTGTGTGTAATGCTCTTACGATGGAAAAAATTTTTTTGGAAGGTTACTGTTAACTCCTAAGTCTTTAGATTTTTTTTTAACTGATGAACTGGCATGTGCAAGGTGTTGTATCATGTACCATGTCACACATGAATTATTCCTTCTGACACTTATAGTGTAGTGCCACAGGAGCAGAAAAAGATTTATTTGGCAGTGGTAAAAATAATACTGTCGATTATTATTCTTACCATTGTGACAAAGTTCACGAGAGAACCGGTCAAAGAGAGTCTAGTTTAGCTCAGTGTCAGAGGTTTCTGTCTGTCATGGGGCAGCAGTGTTGACCAGCAGAGTCTCTCATATGGTGGTCAGGAAGCATAGGAAAGGAATGCAGGAAGGAACCCAGGGAAGATACTGTCTTCCAGGACTTACCTCATCCCACAGTGACCCACCTCCTCCAGCCAGGCCGACTTCCTCCATCTACCTTTTATCAGCTCCCAATAATGCCATGGTAATTATGAAGCCATCAGAGGCTTAATCTGTTCATTAGGTCAGAAGCTTTATGATCTGACCATCTCTGGAAATAACTTTACAGACACAAGTGCGCTTTACTATTATCCTAGGCATTTCTTAATCTAGCTAGGTTAACAATCAGCATTAGCTATCACGGCCATTCTTGAAACACACATGATACTTACAGATCTTTGTCATTTCATCAATAATTTTTTTTTTTTTTTTTTTTTTTTTTGGTTTTTCGAGACAGGGTTTCTCTGTGTAGCTTTGCGCCTTTCCTGGAACTCACTTGGTAGCCCAGGCTGGCCTCGAACTCACAGAGATCCGCCTGCCTCTGCCTCCCGAGTGCTGGGATTAAAGGCGTGCGCCACCACCGCCCGGCTAATTTATAAGACTCAATATCTACTATGTATGAAGACTTGTACTGGGTATATAATAATAGAGACTAGATTCTGCCCTTGTTATCACTAGAAAGCAAATACTTTTAAATAAATCTTTGTGGGTGTGGATGTGTGATGTGTGATGTGTGTGTGTATGTGTGTGTGTGTGTGTGTGTGTGTGTGTGTGTGTGTGTGTGTGTGTGTTTGATGTATGTGTGCTATAGTGGTTGGATGGGGGTGTCATTCCCTGTCTCCCATCTTGTTTGAGGTGGAATCTCCTGTTCACCTCAGGTTATACTAGGCTAGTCAGCCCATGAGCTTATGGACATTCTCCTGTCTGCCTCCCACCTTGCCATAGGAACACTGTGCCCAGCTTTACATGGATATTGCAGACCTGAACTCAGGTCTTTACACTTGCATGGTAATACACACTGAGCCATCTACCTAGCACAGAAGCCAAATATCTCTCAAGGAAAAAAAAAAAATCATACACTATGTAAGTCTCTGCAGAAAATTTTCTTTTCTTTTTTTACTAGCTAAATTTGATTAACAAGGTTTTGTGAATTTGTTTCTCCTTGAAATCTAATCAATACCTTTAAAAAGATGGGTTAAGGCCACAGGGTACAAAATCTCCTCTGAAAATGGATTGCAGGTAGTGCAGAGGTGTCAACTGTCAGCAGAGTTCCAGTGGAACGTGCCGTGGCTCTGGTAGTTGAGTAAGTGTTTTGGTAAGGAAACTTCCAGAGATATCCAAGAGATACCTGCCTGTCCAATCGCTTCTGCAGAGTGTGTGCCTAGGTAAACAAAAACTCCGTAAAATGTTTTTAAGCTCATTGCATGTTTGAAACATTTTCACAAAAGTTAAAGATGATCTAAGGTCCAGAGGATGCACTTGGGATATATCTATAAACATGTCCAAATATTTAAAATGTCTGATAAATCTCAGTCCCTGTAACATACTGCCTTTTAGAAAATGCTGTCGTTTGGATCCTTACATTACCACATGCGATGACAACAGATATTCCATACCTTTATTATGCATAGAACTGTAATATGAACTACCTATGTCATTTGAATTTTACTAATGGGTACATGAATAAAGTGAGAAAGAGCTGAAATAAATTGTAATGGTATATTTTATTTAATGCAACATTTCTCAAGCATTTCAACATGGAGTTAATATAAAATTTATTTGGCGATACCTTACATTTTTTACAATGTTTTCTAACAATAGATGTTATTGAATGAAGTATGTATTTAATGCTTATGCTACATCTTACATTGGACTTGCCACATTTCAAGTGATCCTTCAATGACGCAGTAGTAGTATACACCTGCTCTCATTTTTCAAGGTACAAAAATCGTCTGGAGGCAAAAAGGTTCAGCAAAGCATTAAAAAAAAAATGCTCAGATGCCACCATTACCTTCTAATTGGGGGAGTAAGTCCATTAAACATGATGGCTATATCTGAACAGCAGCTTTTTATTACTTGATGTGAGTTATTAGGCATTGCCTCTTGAATGAGGTGCCCAGTGAGCTTTGTATTAAACACATTTCTTCCTACATAATCCTCTGCATTTAACCAACAACACCCACATATTTCAGGCAGACGACCAGCTACTTATCGAAGGATAAATTCTAAATTGCATCTGGATCTTTACACTATTCATGGTTCCTGAGAAGCTCACTGAGCCTCTTCACCGACAAGACAATTCTTCCTTCCACAGCCACCTATTATTGGAGGCCTCCAGATATTTTGGCGTAGCCCACGTGAAAGGGCTGAGCTGCATCCCTCGGCAGCGAAAGATATTTTAAATTTTCAATGACAGAGTAGTGGGGGTGTGCAAGAAGGTAGCAACTGTAGTTACCATACTTCTGAAAGACAAATCTGTATACTTTCCTCATATGGACCCCTTTGGATCTCTTTGCGTGCTGAACAGATCTTCACAGAATTTGGGCAAGTGTCTCTCTCTCTCTCTCTCTCTCTCTCTCTCTCTCTCTCTCTCTCTCTCTCTCTCTCTCTCTGTCATCATCCGGGATGGCCCTGGAGGGTTATTAGAGAGTTGGAAGTTTACCATGAGTGATAGCACAGATCCAATCTCTAAACTTGGTCCAACTACAGGCTTTAGAGAAAAAGACTCGAATTTCACCTTGTGGCTGTATATTCAACACCTAGCACACATCCCTTAATTACCACTGGATCCTTTAACACTGTGCTTTCCATATTTATTTTGGTATTTGTGTTTAATCAGTCTCTTATAGCCTCCTATCAATCTGTAAGATGCCTCAGCTCTAATGTGAATGTACCATCCAGGGAGTTTGCGAGAATATACATGTCCCTGAGTTCATCGTGGCTTTTGACCAAAATGCCAAATTTCTTACTTTTGATTGTTCTTAATATGCATTGACCAGTAATTTTCTAATCTATTGATGAACATCCCTATGGTATGTGAAGTTCCATGTTGAAGGATGAAAACATGGACAGTACCAGTGCTATGATACCAAACAACCCTTACAAAGTTACCAAGATACGAACTAATGGATGGACTACAATGTATTAAAAGCACCATGAATTTTGACTTTTCATCAATTTTTAAATATCAAGTGCCTTTTAATGTGTTCATTGTAATTCATATCCAATGGACTACTTCATTCATTCTTAAGAATTGATGACATCATGAGATTTAAAGTCTTTTCCCAAAAGCATATAAATGTTTGTTTATTTTCTACCCTCCCTCACCTACAGATGCAACAGTTGGAGAGACAAGTTATCGATGCCGAACGTCAAGCAGAAAAGGCTTTTCAACAGGTAGGGGATCATTTCGTCTTTACCTGTCCCTATGCGTATAAAGGTTGTTTAGCTCAAAATAGGATAGCGGTTAACTTTCCGAAATTTCTCATCATTTTGACTGTTCCGAAGCTCAAGCCATAGAGTGGAAAATTTCAACTCAATTTTGTTCCTTTACTGATTTTCCAAGAGGGTAAAAAAAAACGACTTTGATTAAAATATTTTATTATTTTTTTCTTAGAAAATCAAATATGACTTTTAATAGAAATCCCAACTGCAATTACGTTTTATATATAAATATGTTCATATCAGCTTTATGTATAGCAATAAAGAGCTGAAAATGATATGAATTCCATGTTGTAGAAGAATGATTAAGTAAACTTAAGGCTATGAACTGTTAAACAACTATTTTAGATCATTTTACTGAAAAATTAATAGAGAAAATGCTTAGAATTATATTAGGAAAATACACACAAAATTGTATATTTCATATATTAATATTTATGGGTAAGAAAGGTCAAATCCATGAGTTTAAAAGTAGTCTGAGAGGAAACTAGAAGTTTGCTTGAATTGTGACATTAAGAAAGATTTTTAGCTGGGCAGTGTGGCGCACACCTTTAATCCCAGCACCTGGGGGGCAGAGGCAGGCAGACCTCTGTGAGTTCAAGGCCAGCCTGGTCTACAGAGTGAGTTCCGGGATAGCCAGGGCTACACAGAGAAACCCTGTCTTGAAAAACAAAACAAACAAAAACAGAATTTATTTCTGTATTTTCATTCTTTTTTTTAAAATACTCCTTTGGTTCTTGAGATCATGATTTAGGTAAGTCACTTAGCCTTTTCCTAGCCTTGAGAGCAGTAAAGTGGATGGGTACACCCAACCTTAAAGTTCTTCAATAATCTCAAATGCATAACTTCTTGTTTTGTGAAAAACTCTTTATCACAGCTGCTCAAACTAACAGTTTCCAAAAGCTTCAACACAGAATTCTTTCAAGAAATGCACTGTCCAGCGGTCGTCCTGCCCTTAGGCCTAGACTTGATATACCTAGCAAATTGCAAGAGTGGCTGTACAACCCAACCTAATCCTTGATTTCTTGTTTATATTTGAAAAGAAATTTTAAATTTTTATTACATGAACTTCAACCACATCTAAGAGTAGGGAGACTCTACAGTGGGCTCTCGGGGTTGGTTCCCTTGTGGCTTGTCTTATCACGAGTCCCTTGTTCTCTCCACTCGACCCTGCATGGGTTATTTTGAAGCAAATACCAGATATCATACAGTTGTACCCAAAAGTAAGGTTGAGTGAAATCAAAGCAACTAATCTAAAAGACTTAAAAATCCCACCCACAGTACCATTGCCATTCAAAAATATTAGCAACAATTCCTCGATATGTCATAGAACTAGATACCATTCAAAATTCTCCCAAACATCCCATAATTGCTTCTGTTTTTTTAATATTAATTTTATTTTAAACGAGTGTGTGTGTGTGTGTGTGTGTGTGTGTGTGTGTGTGTGTGTGTGAGAGAGAGAGAGAGAGAGAGAGAGAGAGAGAGAGAAGGAGGGAGAGAGAGGAGAGGAGAGAGCATGTGAATGCTGGTGCTCACGGAGAACAGAGGCATTGGTTCCTGTTAGAGCTTGAGTTATAGGCAGTTATGGGTGCTGGAAACTGAACTTGAGTCTTCTGGAAAAGCAGTATAATCTATTAAGTGCTGAACCATTTCTCTAGCCCTATGTTATTGTTTTTAATTGGGTTGAAGTTCATATAATATAAAATTAATTATTCTAAAACAGACCAGTTACAATATTATAGAATCAACATCTCTGTTTAACTGCAAGTTTTCCCCATCATTTCACAAGGAAACATGTTGCCATGAAGCATTTAGTGTTGCTCGCCTCTCCCCTCAAGTCCTGGCAGTAACAGACTGCTTTCTGTCTCCATGAATTTACCCACTCTTGACAGAAAGGCAAGGTCCTGATATGTGAGCCAGGCTGGCCTTAAACTTGTAATATTCCTGCCTCAGCCTTCTCAGTGTGGGGATTACAGGTGTGTGCCACTACACCTAGATTGGATATTTCTTATAGAACTATTCATATAATATGTGATCTTCGTGTCTGACTTATTTTATTTAGTAGGGCAATTTTGATCATTCATGTTGTGGATACACACACACACACACATACATATATATATATATATATATATGTATATATATATATATAACTTTTTGTGTTTATTCACCTATTGATGGACATTTCAGTTGTCTCTGCCTTTTGGTTAGTGTGATAAGTGTGTGTTCACACTGTATTTATTTCAATACCTGTTTTTATTTCATATACATATTTATATATGGTAGCATATGCTATTTTCCTCGTTTTAAATGACTACCTTGTTCAGATTGGAATCAGAACTAGATGGACACATTTCACTTGAGTCTTAGACCTCAGTTTGTGTAGTCTTTTTCTCTTTCTTTTGCTTCAATATTTGTTGAAGACATTGGTTTAGTTTTTTCCTCTCAAGACTTCTGCATTCTGAATTTTGCGTACACCTCCTCATGGTGCTATTCAACATGCTCTTCTGTGTCATCATTTACTGTCAAATGTAGCTAAATCTAAACATTTTATTTTCCCATGTCTGTCTTTCCTTTTTCATTCTTCCTCTCTTTTCCAGTACTGCCTCTTGGGTGATATTTGGACATTCAACGTCCAGCTCTCTTTTTCTGTTATTTGGCCACCATTGATGATTTGCATATAGATATGTGTTCCTATTTTTCTTGGTTATACTTTGGAATTCTAGGTTGCCAGTTGACAAGTAGTTTCTTTAGTAAGGATCAGCAAAGATCCTTTTTCTTTTTGGTTTTTGAGATGGGGTTTCTCTGTGTAATAGCCCTGGTTGTCCTGGAACTCACTGTGTAGACCAGGCTGGCCTCAAACCCACAGAGATCCACCTGCCTCTGCCTCCGGAGTGCTGGGATTAAAGATGTGTGCTGTCACCACCCTCTGGGGCGCAGAGTTTTCTAAAGTGAATGTGTCAGATTGCATCCCTACCTGCGGTGGATGAGAATTCTAAATGCTGAGGATGCTGACATGTGGCATTATTGTTCATTTTGGTTTTAGCTATTCTTGCCTTGCTAATTTGAGAAGAATGCTAGTCTAAATTCTCTTCATTGGTTTAGTAAATAGATATACATAAAGCATATCATTTCCATAAGTCAAATTGATCTTGTTCAGAACTTAATCCCCTTATGTCCTATAATGATCCTTGCTTAGAAAAATAAGTAAGTTTATGCTGTGAAAATGCCCCATTGAGTCCACCAAGACAGGAGAAAGTGAAGATGGGCTCTAACATGAGAAAGGCCAATGAGACACAAGTGTAGACGCTCCCATCCAATTGTGGTCAAGGCAGATGTCGAGGCTCATTCTACCTCAGTTCTTCTCCAGTGTTCTTAGAGAACAGTTGCCCCAATTTACATACAACTGCGTGAAAACTCAGTCTCCTCCTCCTCCCCTCCCTCCCTCTTCCCAGCCACAGTGGGAGACAGGGGAAGTGTGAGACCAAAGGTTGGCAAGAAGTCTGCACAGACAAAAAGAAGTAAAGATGGAATTCATGTTTCTCTGCTGTGGGAACAGATTTAAGCTTTCAACTGTGTTTAAGATCCAACAGCTAGGGCTAGAAAGATGGCTCAGGGGTTAAGAGCACTGACTTCTCTTCCAGAGGACCCGGGTTCAATTCCCAGTAACCACATGGCAGCTCACAACTGTCTGTAATTCCAGTTCCAAGGGACCCAACACCCATGGCAAAATACCAATGCACATTAAATTTAAAAAAGAAAAAAAAAAGATCCTTAAGATACAACAGCTACCATTTTGGGGCGGGGGTTGGAAAACTGTTTTGTATATCAGGTTTGCCAACACGGGACTAATATTGACAGCTGAGCCCCTCTGTAGGACACAGAGGTCTATAGCAGAGGGATTCAAGAACACGGACCCTGGAGCCAAACTGCCAGGTTCAATCGGCCTTCAGCTTACTGCTTGGCTTCAGCTTTCTCTCTGGAAAATGGGGTATAGTCTCATTCTCAGAGTTTTGTAGAAATTGAGTAGGTGGCTAGGAGTAAAGTACCTGAAATATTTCCTAGCATATAGGAGTCATAGTTAGCTATTGTGAAGATAGACGCTGATTTTAGGAGAGTGCCTGGCATGCAGCCAGCCTGCAGTGGATGGTGGAGGTGGAAGTACTATTATCCCTAGTATGGGTTTGTGCTGCTTCCAAATGGAGAGGATAATTAAAAAAAAAATAGCACTGGGAGCTGTGGGTGGTTTCCCAAACTACCCTGGGGTTCAATGAAATTTTTTTTTTGTTGTTTTTTGAGACAGGGTTTCTTTGTGTAGTTTTGGTGCCTGTCCTGGAACTCGCTCTGTAGACCAGGCTGGCTTTTCGAACTCACAGAGATCTGCCTGCCTCTGCCTCCCGAGTGCTGGGATTAAAGGCGTGCATCACCACTGCCCAGCTCAATGAATTTTTTACAGGACCCGAAAAAAACATTTCACACTCATGGTTATGGTTATATACAGGGAAAGGAAACACATTTAAAATCCGTAAGAGAAAAGAGCATCCTAGGCAGTGTTCAGGAGCACCCAGGTCCAAGTTTCCAGTCCCTTTCTTCCAGTGAAGTCATACAGAGATGTGTTCACTCCTCCCATCAACGATGCATGGGCAAGATTTACAAAGCAGTGCCAGCCCCCAAACCCACAAAGCTTGGTGTGCAGGAGTCCTAGCGGGGATCGGTGTTGTAGGTCTGTGACTGATTTTAGTTACTAAGGTGCTAGCTTCCCCCATCCCTCTGTCCCCTGCTAGAGTCACACTGGTACAGTGTGGCCTGAGACCCTGGGGGAACAGCGATGGATATTTACCTTGATAGTGATTGGAGCGAGAATACTCGCCTGTAGGTTCCTGTATTTGAACACTTCCAGTTGGTGGGGCTGTTTGTGGAGGCTTAGGGGGTGTGGCTTTGCTGGAGGAAGTGTG